TGGATTTTTCTGCTTTTTTTAATTTCCCTGTTGATTTTTCTATCCATGATTGAAATGTCCTCATTTGCTTCAGTGTTGAAGGCTTTTTTTCTGTATGTGTGGATGTATGTTTTTTTCCAGCAGGACTTTTCCTCCTGTAGATGTATAAGAAATTATGCATCAGACAAAAGCCTCATAAACTGACCATTTGTCCTTTGGACACAATAGCCTGCCCAGCCCCTCTGCTCCTCCTCTCCAATTATGTGTGATTAGTCTCAGTGTGTTGTGTCAAGAAGGGGGAGTGTGCTGAGTGCTTATTATCTGTTTAGGTACAAGAAGAGCACATTTAGGTTCTGACTATGAATGGAAAGTGAGCCTTTATCAGGACTAAAATCTAAATGCTACTATCCTAGAAATGGCTTTTAAAAAAACACATCTTTTTTGATAATATAACAGCCAAAGGATTTTGTAGTGTAAGAAAACTATCTCTCTTGAATTAGTTTATATTGGGATATATTGTGGCCCACATTTTTGATAAACATTTAATGTGATTTTTCATGTTCTTGGAAAGACAAAAATCCTACAAAGAAACAGGAGCAATATCTGATTTTCTTAACAGTTTAACAGACCATTTTAATGACTTCTCAAAAACTGTCTCTTAAACCACGACACTTTTAAAATGTTGAAAAAAGACAGAGGCAGAGGCCATGACTGAGAGAGGAAGGTACTAGATGCAAGTAAGTGTAGAGAATCATGCTGAAGTACATTTATTAAAAGAACTGCAATGTGGGAATAAGCACTCTTCCATATTTAACAAATTGGACAGTACATAAACCACAAGCTCGTGAAAGTCCCTTTCTCTTCGTTCTTCTTCTCAAACAAATTTCTTCACTACCGGTTTGCATGTCCTTGTATTCAGTACTTTTTATGCTCCATTAGAGCACCTAGATGGATCTCAGAAGGCATAGGTCAAGTCGCAGTTAGATCATACATTTCTTTCTCACAAAAACTTGAATTGCAATGCCAAGTGATGGGCTAACATCACAATAACAGCAATTTATTCCTCTTTTGATAAAAAGCAGCCTATTCTCGGTGTTAGATAAAGACCAGGGGCAATGCAAACCAACCATTTATCCTAGAACTGAGTACTATGTCCCCGCTATAGCTGGTATGAGTTTCATATTCAAACTCCTGTTGGAAAATACTTGTCTAGTGAGAAATCAAAAGCATTTAGGAGTAATTTGAAATTGCTGTGAAGATGGCTTTAGTTTAATTAGTTTTGTTTTGTTTGTCCCACACAGCAGTGCCTTTGTTTCTCTAAAAACATGTACAAGGACATCTTCATAATCAACAAAGCAGTGTGAAAAATAGCTCAATATTAAAATTTGTGAACCTTTTATTTTTGAGAGGGCTTGAATGTCTGCTGTACAGTAATCTAATAAAGATCGTTAGTTGCCAAAAATAGAAGCAGCATCATTGAAAATTGTGGTTTTAGCTCTAAGAAGAAAAGAGTTTTACTCAAATTAGTAGCTGATAATTGTTTTTTATTTCTTTAGTGTCTGTCGTTTGAGTTGAAGGCTTTGCACAGGTGTTGCCATCCCTAAAGTGTGTAATTGATGGCTTGTTTACCAAAGATGCATTTAGGCTTCATCCTGCAAACTCACGTTTGAGCTCCACAGGCAGTAAAGTTACTCATCTACGTAAGTGCTTGCAGGTTTGGTCTGTGTGCACATTTTTAGAGGTATATAAGCAAGTTCTTGATTTTTTTGTTTTAACATGGGTATTGAAAAGTCACAGATGTAGTATTTACATGAGGCTCTAGAAGTGTTCTTTTTTTAGAGACGTCTCTCAGAGACCCTTGTGTGTGTAGGAATTTGAATTGTTTCTGAGCTCTTAAATTTTAATAATAATACAGTGTTAATTAATACATCAAATATCTTTGCTAAGAAAATGTTTAGCAGTTTATCAAATCATGCTTATAAAATATATCAGAACCTTTTATTTGGTGTTTTAACCAGTCTCTGATACTTGGTATATTTTTAATTATATAGTTTACAGTGTTCTATTACAGAATATTGAGCTTAATTACTTTGTGTTTGTTAAGAAGTTGAAGTTGAATGATGCTGTGCAAGAGCTATGCTGGCTTCACTGAGAATGGAAATGTTAGGCTGATGCAAGTTTTCCTTCACACATGTTGGTAGTTCTTACAGCAATGTTGTGTCTTCCTCCTTTCTCAGAGAAGAGTAGGCATCCATTCCCCTGGGCACAGCACTTATGCACCTGGTGCCACTGGCAGCAAGTTGTGTGATCTTCAGGATATAAAAGATCAAGAAAAAAGTGTTCCATTTTCTGCTGTGAGATATGGCAAAGGCTTTCTTAAAAATTACAAACTCGTCCTATCTGATTACATTCTGGAACAATGGGACAAATCCTTACATTTGGGAAATAAGTCTGATTTGAAAATACAAATGTCTAAAGAGTGTGAGATAAGGCAGAAGAACTTACTATCCCAGGTACCAGT